TATATATATATATATATATATATATATATATATATATATATAATATAGAAATAATTAGTATTAATATTATATATTAATATTATATATATTATAGTATTAATATATATATATATATATATATAATATAGAAATAATTAGTATTAATATTTAGTTTTTATTTAGTTTTTGCGATTCTACACGGAGAGAATCTTATAGTGAAAATTGCTACAGAGTTTTGTAATCAAAAAATAGATCGACGTTCGGCTATAATTCACTATCCTTTCATCTCGTTTGTATATTTATATACATATGAAATAAAATATCGAGCATATATATATATACGAGTATATATATATATATATATTTCAGATAATATGCTACTTATTGAATTGACTATTAAGTTTTCGTGCGGATTTTCGTCTATTGATTAAACTAGTTTTTAAGAAGAGTAAAATCCATTTCAATTTAAAAATCCGCACAAATTTATGGATCAAACCAATATGTTTTAATAACTGAAGTATGCTGTTAAAACATTTGCTGCGTTCCTAGCAAAATTTAATATGTTTCTTAGCAAAAGTAGATCTTACTGACAGTTTTCTAAACTAGTAAAAACATAGTAAAATTGAAAAGAATTTATATGAAAAAAGAAACTATAATATTCTCTCTGTGTATATTTTATAATTCGCAAAATAAAGAGAGAGAGAGAGAGGGGGAAGAGAGATTTCTCTTGTAAATGAGCAATCGCCATAAAAGCATACTTGTACCGTCCAAGCATAAATGGGACACTTATCAATTTTTACTGGTAAACTTCTCTTCCACTTGTCTCATCGATCATTTGGTTTTTCTCTTTTTGCGCGAGCGGGTCGATGTGTCTATGAAATATCGAGCACCGATTGTCGTATCTGGCTGTTTTCCGCAAGAAAGAAAATCGCATCAATTTGCGCCCGTCCTATCTGTCAATTCTACATGTGTCGCAATCGTCATGCCAGTATTATCGACGACAAATCAAAACGCGGTAAAGTACATCCCGATACGATCGCGGCGAGTCGCCTTTTATCGCGCTTGTTTGCGCAAACGCTTCGACTTGTCGCGTACAGGCCACGTCGGAGTTTCTTTCGTCGACTTATGAGACAATTCGTACGCGGAATTATCGCCAAGAGCGGAGGGAGATCTTACACGGAGAGACCCCTTCGCGATCTTCCGTTGCCACAATTCCGCGGAAAGTTGGGCACAATTGCGGATTTCCGGTTCGTTCGCTCGTTATCGCTAATATTCTTTTTATTACCGAGTACGTCGATGCGTCATTTCGATCGTTCGCGCGATTACGTAAATTTGTTTCGTGGTAATTTCGTCGCGCCGGAACATTATTGCGCGCGTTGTTTAGGCGTGTCTGTGAGAGAACGTTCATACGTTTTATCGAGGGCACGGCCGTAATCGGGAGAGTTATGTCGTGACAACGACATAAGCCAATTTTCCCACTAAGCTCTTCACTCGGATGAGCCACTTCGATAATCCGCGAATTCCCCATGTGCGAAACGAGAAATTTATTGGATAGGACAAATTGTCGGCTACTCCTCAGGAATATGCTTCACGTTTACGTATACTTTATCTCGATATCTTTCTTATTTCTCGCGAGTAATTTTCGCAGTGGACAATCGACTGATGTTTTTTCATCAACCACTTCGTGGACATATATTCTCACTAATCTAATCGCTTTAGAAAAGAAAAAAATTTATTTATTACGAGGATTGCACAAGATTTTCTCAGATTAATCGAACGCTTACTTGTTTTCACTCACAGAAAATACATAAAAATTTATTTGTGGAATGTAAGATTTATTTGTGTGTAAAAAACTTGATACCCGGCGAATAAATTTTCGAGTATTTTTTTTCAGTTAAAAATATATCGGCAGAGTTTAATATTTAAATATCTGTTTGTGTCGAGATTTCAAACTCGAAATTAACACGTACGTCGAAACAATTAAAAAACTAACAATAATTTTTTCACCTGTGATTCTTCTCTCTCGAATGCGTCTGTCTCGGAATTATTTCAAGTTGGCGAAAAAATACTTGGGTTGCATTCCAAAACGTTCTTTTTGAGGAAAATTTTACTCAATACCTGTAGTTCACGTTACATATGCTATAAAATATCGAGTAAAATTTCCTCAAAAAAGACGTTTTGGAACGCAACCTTGAAAATTTATTTGTGGGATAAAAATTTATTTCACAGTGCAAATTATCAGGACTTTTTCTGTGCATTCAGGTTTCTTTCGACCACGAAAAGTTCGCAACTGGGATACCCCATGATTCAAACACCAGACGTTACTTTCAATAGCGTTGAAGGTACTTACTCGTTGCCTCGTGACTGCAGTAACGCACTTTTTCCCTTTCCCTTGGCGTCGAAACTGCCGCTTTTGCTTGGGCTATTTCCTCGAGAACCATTCCGCTCGGCGGGGCTATTTCCTCGTGAACCCCGGGCTTTCCTTCTCCTGTCGTTCCTCCCATTTTCTCGTGATGGGCTCTGGCCGCGCGTCGGAGATGGATTTTTCACCAGCACCATCCGTCAACCTGAGCACAAATCGTGATATATTAGTTCGGCGAAAACAGATGATCATTAAAGAAGATCGAGAAAACAGCTCGGGAATTATAAAATCGGAAAACAAGGTCGCGAGGAACTTCGCGGGGTGAACTTGTAATCAATTTTCAAAGCGATGCAGTTGTCTGGAAAATTCATTTGTATGTGTTTCCTTCTTTGTCGTTTTAATACACGGAGAGAATTTTATATAGTAAAAATTATTACTATATTACTAACTTTGATTACTTTGTAAGTCTATCTCTGGATTACTAGAAACATGATAAAATTGAAGAAAACTTATGAAAAAGAAAAAAACTATAATATTCTCCTCGCGTATGAACATAAATATAATTATACACGTGTTAATATAGAAGTAAAACAACTGTTTAATTCTATCTTTCGCGTTGTTGAAGCAATCAGTGCTAGAATTCTGTAACTCGTTATTGAAGTTAATGACAGTTTCGTTATCGTTGCGCAGCTTTTGTATATCGTAGAAAAGCTGCGCAACGATAACGAAATTGTCGTTAACTCCAATAACGAGTTACAGAGTCCCAGCACAGCTCAGTTTTGCGAATTTTGCGTTATCCTGACAGGCTCGCCACTGTGAAAACCTCGCGGATAGCAACCTAACAGTAAGAAAAACCCTTATATAAGTTCTGCACTTGCAATCGCAAATGTGGGTCTCTCGAACGAAATGAAAAGCGTTAGGTTAATGTAATGTCTACAGTGATTCAGAATCGCCTTTATCTGCCGCGGATCTTTCTGCTGAACCGCGCAAATTCGACGAGAATTTGTACAATCATCACGTGCGCACTCAACGGTCGGCTAATTACGAACGTTCGCTTCTGCACTCGATTCGCTCGTGTATTCTTGGTTTCGCCCGCGATGATAATTAGCTATTATTTCAATTAGAGCGAAAGTTACCTCAATAATTAATTTGCAAACTGATTTGGAAACATGAATGTGATTAACGTCTCGGCTGAATAAAAATGTATTTCAAATTAATTCAGTTTTATGGGTCAATTCTGTCAGGATAATTAACTGTTATTCATCAACAAAAATGTCGAAGCACTGCGAGGTTAAGATCGCGCCGCGGAGGCATCGAAATCACCGGCATCGAGCTCTCGCGACCGCCTAAGGGGATGAAATGACCGTAGTTATGCAAGAATGACTCAACCCACAGGAAGTATCCCGGATAGAAATTTAAAACAGAGATTAAAAAGGAAACTATTTATGAGAAATTCTATTCAGAATTTGCTTATCTTGGTTATATCTAGGTCATATGAAAACATGCCTATTTTTAGGTTCTCTGGCTAGGATCATTACACATACTTAAAGCACATACTTAAGTCCGCTCTGATTAATTTCTATCCGGAACGTTTCGAGAAAAATAATGAAAATTTTATACACAACTCAAATATTGAATTTTTTCGCAATTTTTCAAGAATAGAGTTAATTTTCCTCTCTTTAAGAACATTTATTGACAAATCTTCAAAAAATGGATAAAAAAGACGCAACTAGTAAGAAATGGCGCGATAGAAAATAAAAATTGTTTTTTGATTAATTTTAGACTCCCATAAGTCTTGGATTTTCTTTTGTTTTATTTAAAAAGATGTATAAATCCATTGGTAATAAAAACTCAAAGAACATAATTTTCAGGATCGAATCATTCTCACATAATTATGGTTAAATTTGCTTTCCTGCATCGAAAGGCCGTGTCTTACGCAAAGTGAAAGCGAACGAACGGGTGAGCGAATGCGACAAGACATTAATATAACAAAAACATTTGCACGAGCCATTAAAATGCAGATCGCAATTCTCTCGGCACTGGCGTTGGCAGAAACAATCGCGAAACTTAACGAGCGATTAAAACGGCGATTCGTTCTGAGCGAATTGCGCGTGTAACAGCACGGTGGTGCTCGGGCACCTTCCGCTTTCCAAAGTTTATAATCTTCATCACGACGAAATTTATGCGTCTCGCGATGCATATCTCGGGCCACTAAGAACATAAATCGGGGGATATTAGTGCGTCATTATTATTATTATTGAAAAACACGCGCGAAGAACACAGCGAACCCCCAAGCGGAGAAGAGCTTTCATAATTGAAGAGAGCGTTTATCGATAAACCACCACAGCCACATGTGACGTCCACGAGGATGTATAGTCAGGCGACTAACGAAAGCGCACTTACATTCGTAGTCTCATGTATCGCCCGGAAGAAAAGCGTCCCTTGCACCTTCCCGACACCAAACGGGACGCTTGACGAACGCGCAGCCCTCCCGCAGAACGAGAGAGCGACGCAATGTTTCCTTCCTGCTGATCTTCTCGTAATCGCGCGAGATTCGCGAACGCCGGATCGCAAGATCTACGGATCTACGTTGGCCGAGATCAAAGGTTTCAGGGGACTCAAAGTCCCGAACATCCCGCGCGAGATCGAGATCGTAAACAATCGCGAGTGTGCGATCGCTCGGTAAGCCACCGTGCATCAGCAACAACCATCGGCGCCGTACTGACACTGTCACCCGGCGACGGGGTGAGTCTTGGCCAACCACGAGGGTGTAGTTCTCCCCTACGGTCGCGTCGTGCAGCGCGATCGAAAGCGGGCGGTCTCACACGAGCGGTTGCTCGTCACAACACTGCCGTTTGCCTACTATTACCCATCACGTAGCAGTCGCGTAGTTGCTAACCCTGGTCGCCTGCGACCACCCTCGCCGCCCCGGCTCGGTCATCGTCCACGTGGACTTGAAGTTACCTCGTCGCGAACTTGACATCAGCTACGACATGTAAACGACGATGTTTACACGATGTCGAACGGCGCAGTCGAACAGTCGCTCGAGTTTGTTTACATAACGACTAAAAAGGTGCTTCGGGATACACGTAGTTGGCCCAACCCTACACAAAAAAGTGTAAACACGACTCTGACGCGAGCACTTTTGTGTTTGTCTTCTCCCATCCTGCCTCTTCATCACGTTTTTCTAGCTTTCCTCGACACATCGCGAATTTTTATGTTTTTCCGTCGATTTCTAGCGAAGCTAGCTGTTATTCTTTTGTGATACTACATATTTTGCGCAACATTACGTTACATTTCCAAGGCCCATACCCTGAACTCTCTTTTGTAAATAAAAGCGCTTGTAAAAGTGCCTTATAAGCCTTCTGATTGAATTTCTTAGGATAATCATTCGTGCTTGATTTACATAATTTTTTTATGTTTATGCTTCTAAGGTTAAGGCTCCTGGGGAGTCGTATCATCCATCTCTTTTTAATGACGTCAGAAGCGAGAAAACGCATGCTAAAAATTCCTGCAAAATACGTCGAGATAAACAGATATATCCACAAAACGACATTTGCGATCGATTAAGTACACCTCTAAAATACTCCGTATACTTTCCTTTTGTTCTAACAATCAACAGATAATTATAAAATAAATGTGACGTGCAATCGTCTTTTCTAACCTAATTTCCTCATTATCTTGTCATATTAATTTTCCGATTATCTATTGATTTTTAGAACAAAAGGAAAGTGTACGGAGTATTTTAGAGGTGTACTTAATCGATCGCAAATGTCGTTTTGTGGATATATCTGTTTATCTCGACGTATTTTGCATGCGTTTTCTCGCTTCTGACGTCATTAAAAAAAGATGGATGATGCGACTCCCCAGAAGCCTTAACGAGATCGAAAATTAATATCATGCATTACGCAAAAATTGAGCAGATAAACGGGAATTAAATGTGACTTATACATTTTACGCACGGATAAGTATCTTTCAAACGAGTTTAACGCGTTCTTCGGTAATAATAATAATAATTAGCGTGTATTAGACGTCACGGTTATTACCTCAACTCTGAAAAATATTCTCGCCCCGGTTGGGCGTGAAAACGATCCAAGCGATCCTTTTGGAAAAATACGACGGACGATAAAAATATCACCGGAGTCTCTTTGCGAGCGATTTCCGATGTCAAATTTCCGGGTTGTCGACGCAACGCATGACAAGGTTGAGTGCACTCGATTATCCGCGAGACCGTCGTTTGCGTTCGACTAGAAGGAACTCGTGCTCGTTTCTCCACTCGTGTAGATATTATCCCTCGAAACGGCTTCTTTGTCCGCTTTGTGTGATACCGGATGACGGTTTTACGGTAACCAGTATAAACGACACGATTCGTCGTGCTACGTTGACGTTGACGAGTCAACACGGGGGAAAACTCATATTTACGAAACGTCGGCGCGCGAAAATATATCGAGAAATAAAAAGAAAACGAAAAGAGGATGATGCATTAAAAAAACGTCGAAAAACTCACGAGCTCGTGATTGTCACGAGCGTGATCTTTGCTCTTTAATAATATGAACCTACGACTTTCTGAAAATAAACATCTTCGATCAGCGATGTATCGATGAAGCGAATCAAAATAGTCTTTTACAACGTCTCGTAATTATGATTTATTATGTCACCGATGTAGCTTATTATTCATCATTTCTAATTTATTGCTCAAACAATTTAATCTGAGGAACTCATTCGGTGTTGTGATTCACAAAAATCTCAAAGAACGCACGTTCCTCGAGGAGTCGCATTTTGCACAAAATTCAAGGAATTTCCGAAAAAGAAGGGAAAGAAAATACTTTTGTTCAAAAGAGAGTCGCGTTTTGCACCGCGATTATATCGTGATTACACGTGCGTCACGTTCGAAAGAACAATCAAAGATGTGATCATTCGTACAGGACTCGCGTGATATTGTCATCTATTGTCTCCTCGTTATATATCGCTCATTATTTTATAATTTATTACTTCAGTGTGAATAATTCGTTCGGCACCGCGAACTTCAAAAAAGAGCCCACGTTCCTCGGGGCGCCGCATTTCGCGTAAAATTCGGGAAGCAGCTTCCAGCAGAGAAAGTTAGGAAACTTACACTTGAAAGAGACTCGCGTTATACACGCATCGCGAAAGAACAATCAAGAATGTGATCGCTTGTATAGGACGCCTGTAGGACGCCACGCGAGAATCTAACTCCAAACAACTCACGATCCCCCCTCCCCCTCCCTCTCCACGGCCGAGCCTGTAGGACATTGCGTCTTACACATTGGCGCAAGCGACACGTTTGCGCACGCACACCGGGACGAATTCTTCCCTCTCTCTCTCTCTCTCTTTCTCTTTTTCTCTCTCTCGCTCTCGCTCTCTCCTCCAGCTGCCTCATTCTTTCCTCAGCCGCCACCTTGTGCGGTACGATACGGAGCTCCTTGGAGTGCCGGCAGTTTCATGTGTTACGCCACGGTGTGTGGACGAAATCGCGGCGTAACGTTATCCTCCGAGAGTGCCGGGTTCGTTTAGTCGTTTCGTTCCCCGAACGGGTCACGGTTCGTGACGTATTACGCGGTCTGTCAAAATCACGAGGACATTGTGTGACAATCTATGTGTGACAACCGCTGTTGCTACCGCTGCCGCCGCCGCCGATGAAGAAGACGACGGGAGGATCGCGCTCATGGTGACCTGACGATGGACGAGCACGCTGCTGCGGACTACTCGTGAGTCTCCGGCCACGGCGAGAACGAGAGTACTCGGGCGGAACGAAAGTGAGTACGAGCAACATTCTTTTTGTTTACGAGCACACTTTGCGGTTACATTCTACGTGCGCTCGAGGAACGAAAGGAGATGAAAAGTACGGGTACGAAGTACGAATCTCTCACGCGTTTCTACATTGAGAAAAAAAATATTCGATAATCTATTTGTGAGATGTAAAGTTCTGTGTAAGAACTTCTGTAAAATAAAGTTTATTTTTGCGAAATAAAGTTTGTTTCTGCCAAGTGAAGATTTATTCCGTAGATAAGTTTTTAAGTATTTCGTTTCTCAGTGTGTCGTTTCGTGTCTCATTTCTGAATATTCTCTGATATATTTCCGATATTTCTATGTTTATTTTTGCCAAGAAAAATTACGTTTTATCGTGTAAGAGATATCAAAGTTAAAAGGAATAATTCAGTGCCTTAGAATTGATTTGTTAAATCGAATTTGTCGAGTACAATCTTTTTACAAAATCTCTTAAGCTGATATTCATGTTTTACCTTATCAAGACAAAAATTGAATTGAAAATATTTGCTCGGTTTTTGGATAAATTTTAATCGAATTAAAAAGGCGTTTTGTGTATTGTTTTTTTTTCTTTGTCAATCGTAGACCCGAGATAGAATGTAATCGTAATTTGCACCACCATCTGCGCTCGCCGTGAATCACGAGGAAGAAATCACGATTCTATCTCGCGTTTTTATTAAAAGATGCACCGATCGTCGCAGATGTTGCACGCGAATGCGGCAATCCTTAGATGCGCCGCAATATGATCCGCGGCTTTAAAGCTGTAAAGTCACTTTGTCCAATCTATTTGCACTCCTTTATATTATTTGTCACAATTTATCATTTTAATGTGTGCTGTGTGCGCGCGCGCACACATATACACACACGGTTCATTACACAACGTGTATCGTACCAGTTATTCGCACGTGAGTAAAAGTACGACACTAGTCTCCTCGTTACAATCGTATTTCACGCCAATTATACCGCTACGTATAACAAGCTGTCAAATTGAGCTTCTCTGGCGACTAATGAGTCACATACACAAAACAAATATTTGCATAACCATGTTCCACTTCTTGAAGACCCGTATTAATAGTTATTATTCGAAATTTGTTTCACATGAGATACTTGGACTTTTATTCAGAGTTTCTCTGTTGAATTGTATGATTTGTGTGACATGGCGCGTATTAAAATAGCCATTATACTTGAAATTTGTCTCACATGAGATATTCGGATATGAATTTAGAGTTAGATTTGAGTTTTTTTATTTTGAATCACACATAATATATGCTACGTTACATTTGCAGTCGTGATTCAACTGAAAGATTCACATCTAATTCTGGATTCAAATTTAAGTATCTGAAGTAAGTAACGACTATTAATACGACTCTATCTCTATATAGGGTGATCGGAAACAATCGCATTCGGTTAATATTATCGTATTTTTTAATGAATTCTAAGACTATTTTTCCTCTTGAACTTAAAAATGTTATCCGAGACTTAGTTGCTGAACTATAAAGATAAATAGTTCTAGCCTCTCAGAGGCTAGTTACGGAAAGGGATGGCACAATTCACTGTTAGACACAGACGTTGGACAATATATATGTGATAATATTCATACATCTTAGTTTGAAAACTTTCAATATATGATTAATGCTTCATTCTCGTGCTTATTTTTAATGTTTTTCGTATTTGTAAAGTTTATATTGCACTTAGGACAAATTCACGTGCGCAAACGACTATTTCACTCTTACACGTTATGTTATAATCGTGTTCAACTAAATTAAAATAATTTATTTGCATTATTGTGCACAATCACATTGACATTGAAAGTTTTTAAGCTAAGATGTGTGCATGTTGTTACATATATATCGCCAACGTGTGTCTGACGGTGAATTGTGCCGCTTCTTCTTACTTTCCGTATCTGGCCCGTGAGAGGCTAACTATTTATCTTTATGGCTCAGCAACTAAGTCTCGGATAACATTTTGCAATAACCTTAGAATTCGCAAAAAAATACGATAATATTAACCGAGTGCGATTATTCCCAATCACTCTGTATATCTTTATGATTCTGTGATCTCAGATCTGAGTATCCCGTTTGATAG